GCTTTCGTCCACCCGATCCCTAAAAAAGGCGACCGCTCAGACCCGTCCAACTACCGGCCTATCGCCATCACCTCCTTGTTCTCAAAAACAATGGAGTCTATTGTAAACTGCCAGCTTATGAGGTACCTTGAGGATCACCAGCTGATTAGTGACCGCCAATACGGTTTTCGCCGTGGTCGGTCAGCTGGTAATCTGGTCTACCTAACTCACAGATGGGCGGAGGCAGTAGAGTCCAAGGGGGAGGCATTGGCCGTTAGTTTGGACATTGCGAAGGCCTTCGATCGGGTTTGGCACAAAGCACTTCTTTCGAAGCTCCCTTCCTATGGGCTTCCCGAGAAATTGTGCGATTGGATTACCAGTTTTCTTGCAGATCGGAGCATCAAGGTCGTTGTAGACGGTGCAAGCTCCGATTGCAAGCTTATTAATACTGGTGTTCCACAGGGCTGCGTGCTATCGCCAACGCTGTTTCTTCTGCATATCAATGGTATGTTGCAAACCCGTAGCATTCATTGCTATGCAGATGACAGCACTGGTGATGCTCTTTACACCGGCCGAGCCAATATTTCGCAGGAAAACGACGCAGGTTCGGCCGCTCATGAAATACTGTTCCCATCTCTGGGCTGGGGCTCCCCAGTACCAGCTCCTTCCACTTGACCGCATTCAGCGCAGAGCGGCTCGAATCGTCGACGACCGAGTGCTTTCCGATCGGCTCGATTCACTGGCGCTGCGTAGAGATGTTGCATCTCTTTGCGTATTTTATCGCATCTATCACGGGGAGTGCTCTGAGGAATTGTTCAGATTAATCCCAGCCGCCAAATTTCGTGAACGCACTACACGGCAAACGTCCCGATACCATCCACACCATCTGGATGCTTGGCGGTCCACCACTGTACGTTTCAAAAGGAGTTTTCTTCCGCGTACAACCTCTCTGTGGAATAATTTACCACCGGTGATTTTTCCGGACCGATACGAACTGGGGACCTTCAAGAAAAGAGCTTACTCCTTTCTAAAGGGCCGGCAACGCACCTGCAATTCCCCTGGTGTTGCGGTTGATCATGGGCGGCGGTAGTCACTTAACATCAGGTGAGCCACATGCTCGTTTGCCCCCCTCTTCTATAAAAAAAAATACCACACGAGCTCACTGAAAGAAATCTAATGAATCGTGTACTCATTTGCGATTCTCTATTGAAACGTAATAAAACTGAACCATTTTTAAAAAGATTGATCACTGGTGAATGAAAAGGGGATCACCTACGACAAGAACAGGCGAAAAAGATCATGATAAAAAAAAAACAACTAATGAGACTCAAGCAACTTTGATCTTGTCACTTCGCAGTGTCGCAGGCTAGGGTGGATATGATTTGAATTTCGCAAGATTTTAATTGATTTATTTATTTAATTCAAAAATTTTTGTTCTTATTTTTTGCAAAATATCAGGGCCATTCGTTCACATGTTACACCCTATATTTTCCCGATGGTAATAAACGTCATCTAGTATACAGTAGAATCCGGTTATAACGACGGCCGAGGGACCGGTGATAAAATGTCATACTTACCGGAAGTCGTATTAAAAGAACAGACAATTTTTGCTTTTTATTAGTCGCATACATAATCTATTTATTAATATTTAGGTGACCAGCTGATTTAAAAAATCTTAATATTTATTTGTTTTGTATGTATTATAATTAAACGTAATTAAACTTTGAAAAAAAAATTTCTTTTTTGTACATAAAATACGGGACACTATTTCGCCGACCTTATATCAATATCAAGTCACGTTTACGTTTCACCTTTTTTTTTAAATATATTAACATTCCCATCTCTTCTTGGAAGATTACCAAGTAAGAATTTTTATTCCTCGCCGTTGTAGATGACTGTGGCAACAAAATTGCTTGGACGGTGCTCGCCTTGAATTTTACTAGCACGCAAGCAACTTGCATTGGATAGAAAGGAATTTATTTTGTGAATAAATTTATTTTACATAGTACATTTAATTTATTTCCTTTTTTATGAAACTAAAATTACAAGTGAACTAACTGTCTAGTCTGTGTAATAGCAAGATGCTACTGCACGCCATGGACACCTGCAACCAACTTTATATTAAAAGGACTCGTTGGTCTAGTGGTTGTAGTGGCGCGACTGATGATCATGAGGTCCTGGGTTCAAATCCCGGGTCGGGCCAAAAAATTAATTATCGAGTTATTCCGTCAAGAAGTTCTCAGTAGTTGCCCGGAGTCAGGAAGTTGGCGGTGTCTCACCCCCGTGACTCGGAAAGCACGTAAAGCCGTTGGTCCTGCGCCTGATCTCTCTCCGATTGGGTCGGTTTACCGTCCCATCGGATTATGAGAGTGAGAGAATAGAGAGTGCACCTGCGCTTGCGCATACACTTGGGCACTATAATCATGTCCTGTGCCGATGGCTAGCCTCCGTTGAGGCAGGCTGCCGTGGCCGAAATTCGGTCTGGAGGACATTATTACCTATCATTATTAAAAGGAGGCTACAAGTATGTTGTCGCCTCTGGGGACTAAGATGGAATGCCTTACAGCCTGTACTTAAACGAGTACTCTTTACTCTTCACAGCGGAACACATCGGAGCTCAGTGCTGTTTCGCAGGGGCAATAAGAGGATTAGGATTAGGATCATTTACCCAGACGGACTCCTAGCCTGATAACAAGTCCTACTGCCTATTAATTCGTTTTATTACACATCCTTTAATAAAAAATCCTAAAGCACAAACATGTCTTCACCTGACTCTATGATAGTACATAGAATTTGAATTTTTTTAGATTCGATTTTTAAATCAATGAAATACGACTCTAAAAACGTAAAGAAAAGAGTCGTATCTCATTGATTTAAAAATCAAATCTAAAAAAAATTAAAATTCTACTTTGAAAACCTTCAAGAAAAGAGCCTTCTTACTTTCGACGCATCTAAATTTCCCTCTGATGCATGCAATTGTTCATAGGCGGCGGTCTGAGGCGGCGTAAGGCGTGCGCGACGTGGGCCACCGCCTACGGCATCGCGATCCACGGGGCCTCGCGCCCTCGAGGTTTATGCTAGACGGACTCCTAGCCTGATAACAAGTCCTACTGTCTATTAATTCGTTTTATTACAACATCCATTAATAAAAAATCCTAAAGCACAAACATGTCTTCACCTGACTCTATGATAGTACATAGAATTTGAATTTTTTTAGATTCGATTTTTAAATCAATGAAATACGACTCTAAAAACGTAAAGAAAAGAGAACCGTATCTCATTGATTTAAAAATCAAATCTAAAAAAAATTCAAATTCTACCTTGTAAAACCTTCGAGAAAAGAGCCTTCTTACTTTCGACGCATCTAAATTTCCCTCCGATGCATGCAGTTGTTCATAGGCTGCATGCTCGTTTGACCCCTCTCTTATGAAAAAAAAAATAGAAAAAGTTTTTTCACGAATTCAATGCTTAACCTAACATACAATGTTGCAAAGGATGTGATGTCTACGAACAAGCCATCGAAACCGTTTGAATATTCTAATTACAAAGAAAAACTACAGCTACAACCCAAAGTTGTTTCTTTGCGATGTTACATTTTCCCAAACTTAAATTCTACGTGTTTTGAACAATTTAAAAAGCTTTGTATTAAACCTGCTCATCGCCGAGAGATCACTGATTAAGCTCATTTCTTTTCAAGCTCATAAGATGTTGGTCTATTTTAAATTTCATTTTGAAATGACACCCGTAATCACTTTAAATAAACATTAGGCACGTAGATTGCAACAATAAATCTAAATCCGAAGTTCTACAATTAAAGCACTATCCATATAGGTATTATCCCGTTCGAACCCGCAACTACGACGCTACGCGTTTGTACCACGCGGCATCTATATACGTATATCTACGTTATTATAAATCTACACCGTCGAGTTCAATTAACAGGCGGTCATAAAAGTTAACGAATAATGTTAATTTCTTATATTTACGCACATAAAACTATTTTTTATAGCGTTCTATTTTAACTTTTTTAATTTTCGACGTAACCATGGGTGCTTCTGGCCGAAATGTCGAGAATTAAAAAAGTTAAAAATTAAACGCGTTAAAATCCGTAAAATTATTTTTAATCGAAACGAATAATGGATTACATTTTGCCAGTTTCATATTACATAAAACATTAATTGTGGCAAGGCATCGGAGATGCGAACGCAACTCCCATATCGCAATGACACGTGGCTGTAATAAGAGACTATCTCGTTGCATATCCTGACAATTAGGCTTGTTTCCTTTAATTATTAGTTTCTAGGTTAAAATACTGAGGTATATTTTTGATTTGTGCAAACATATGTCAGATTATTATGTTTTATAAAAGAGGGGACGGGTAAAGACTGAGTAAAGAATAAACGTTTAGCTTTTAATTCTAAAATCATCATAAACTCCTAAGGTATCGAAGTTAATATCTTCGTAAGCTATAAAATGGAGAAATAAAATAATCAACAGTCGGTACAAGTATATTTTTATTCTTCGTGCAACAATATAAAGTTATATGTCATGTAAGTACAGTAAATATAATAGGTGTTGAATACTTATTACATTTACGTCAAATTGTAAATATGATTCAAAGGTAGTGTAGTCGTAGTGAAGTCAGTTTTGTGAAACGAATAAATAAATTATCAATATGCTACAACATCAAACTTTATAACTTTTATATAAAAATAAAAAATAACACCATTAACATTGTCCCTTTCACATTTTACCTTGTTGACTTTATAGAATTTCGTCATTTTCTAAACAAACGTGTCTTCAGACAGCGTTTTGTTTGTGCGTTACTTGAATAATATGCATAAATTATGTAGCATAATAGACTTATTGCTTTTTTAAATATTATACTGTCTCATTTTAAGCAAAGATTAGAATTTTAATTTAGTACATTCATTCAGTCCGTTACAAAACCGGCCTTTTTATATTTCCAACTTAAGCACAACTCGAATAAACGTCCAGGTGTCACTTGTCAAGTTAATTAATTATTCAAAGTTGACCCAGAAAGTTTTGGGAATTCCAGGCTGGCGGAGGCACTCTTTCCAGCTGTCGGCATAACAAGATTTTTCATCTATAGTCGCCTTCCCTAATATTTCCTTCTTCGCCATTTTCGTCTTACACCCTAGACTAATGTAAATGCTAACTTTACTCAAATTCGCCTTGAAAACAGTTAGCTTTACTGTGGCAGATTTCGGATCCCATCTGGCAGATATTGCGGGGACGAATCGATCGCTCTTCCAATAGCACTCAGCTTTATTCGCTTCCAATATTGTGGCTTTCAAATACAGCGGCGCTGGAAAAATAAATTTAATTATTAATTTTATGAAACTTCGTGCAATGCTTTCACTTGGCAGCTTGCTTTACACAATGCATTAATTTCTGTCATACTTAATGAAAAGATCAAATTTTAGTTTACGACTTAAATAATGTATTTGTTTATTTATTCTTTATTGTACACCAAAATACAGGATAACGGGTAAAGTTAAACCTAAAGTATAACATGTTTTTGCCCTTGCGTAGAGAACTGATACAAAAAATAGTTAAAATAGAAGGGGGTTTACAAAAAAATTATGAAAATACACATAAATAAAGATAAGTGAAAATGATATATAATATGATATAATAGATTAAATGAAAAAAGTACGAAAAAGGAAAAGTAATTTATCTCATAGCGTTCTAAGTAATACGTTTTAACAAGGCTTTTGAAAAAATGAAGAGATTAATTAAGTCGAATGTGGAGGGGTAAACAGTTCCACAAACGCACAGCAGTGACAGTAAAGCATTTCTTAAAAAAGAAGAAAGAGTGCAAAGGAGTAGAGAAGAAGAGAGAGGAAGATTGACAGAGGATCAAAGAAACCGATTATGGGTAAGGGAAAGATACTGGAAACGGTCTTTTCAATAATATAGAGTGGAAGGATTAAACAGCACACCATATAAAGCGGAGAGAGATAATGTGAGTATTCAAATGACGTTAATCAAAAGACATTAGGAGTCAGGGATTACTTTACTCAATTTGTTTGCATTTTAGAAACAGATTTTGCTAACTTGTTGTGGCGGTGTAAAAACATCCACTACTCCATTTCATCACGTGAGTGGCATAAGAGGTAATAGAGGAAACCGAAACAGAAGATTGGTAGCAACATCTTCCTGACAACAACTAAAAATATGGCAACTATGTCAAAATCCTCCCTTTGAGGTATCTATGATAAAGGCCCATGTTTAGCAATGACTTTTATAGGCTGTAATGCATTGATGGACAGTTTTTGTCAAAATTATAGAAAATTATCTGCATTTTATACTATTGGAAGTACATTACTACCGCATGCGATATGAAAAGAAGTAAAATAGTAATTTCTCTGAAAAAGTAAATGTCATTGTGGTCATTCAGACTATTTTACCACAGTTGTTCTTTGATCCCAACCCAACCTGATTCCGTCAACTACCTTATACAGGGTTATTTTTAGTAGAGTAGCCAAATTTTAAACTTAAGTTCAAATATATAAATAAGATAAATAAGGCTTCTACTTTTATTTGAAATTTTTCCAAAGTTAATGTGATTTATTGGCAACAACGTTTTTGCCTCCCGATCGACCCCTACGAATAAGTGTGTGCGCAGTAAAATCAATTAAAATATGCATTATCCCGCATTTTGAATTTAAAAGATAAAAAGGACTGAATGTTTGAAGATATTTTAATTTTTTTTCACCAATTGCCCAAATTACTTATTCTGAAACTTCTCTGCAAATTTGCAAAATAATCCTGTATAACACATCAACAGAATTTAGGGATATTTTATATTTCATCTAATATCTCAAAATCTATGAAGGATTTTCTGATATAGTAAATAAAAGAATAGTAGGTTATTTTAGTCTTTATTAAAAATAAAAATAAAATCGTATTTTATTTTTGTTTTAAATAAAAATGTTATTTTTTAATCGCCGTAAAAAATTAGTATGATAAAAAGTCTTCATGTTTAGGTATAAAACTAGGTATTAATTTTAATTAAAATTGAAAAATATTATTAAATCTTATTATTAATAATCAGTGATCCTCCTCTTACATTAATTATACATCAAAATCGATTGTTCATAATTAAAGTTAAATTGTCAATGTCTTTGTGCGGTATGAGGTCCCATGTTCTTTGCAAGTGTTCGTAAAGTTGTCGTTCCGTCGTTAAATTTCAGTCAGTCCCAGGCATGCTCGATAGCATTTAAGTCGAGCGCCTGTGCAGGCCAATCGAAAACTTGAATATCGTGGTCTCGTAGAGTGGCCGAAACCAGCCGCGCCGTATGGGAAGCAGCATTATAGTGCATGAGTAGAAATTCCTGGCTGGTCTGGATTCTGTGTGGGACAATAACAGGCTCGTACCTCCTCGTGGTATTTTTGTTCATGCTGCCTTGCATCCAAACGAGCTGGGTTCGTCCGTCAAGACGAACTGCTGCCCACACCATTATTGTCCCGCCTTGGTATGAGTGGACCGCCTGAGGCTGCCGTAGACGGGTAACTCTCCCTGGAGTTCTCCAAACGCGTGTTCTTCGTGAATCCGGATGAAACTCAAACCGGGATTCATCGGTGAACAGCACCAAAGACTACCGTTCGTAACTCCATGGTAAATACTTCAGAGCTCACGAAAGCCGCTGACCGTGATTGCCATGTGTTGCAATGCTGTAACACGTAACGATCTTCGAGCATGAACTCCTTCACACGGTTTGGTCGCTTACCAGCAGCTGGTGGTCTACCTCGAGCCTTGGTAGTAGTTGCATCGCTGTGATATTGGGCTGTCTTCCGGCTTTAATTTAGAGAAATTGATCCTGTGTCTGCGTAGTAACACGATATCTACCCGTGTGCCGTTCAGCCACATTACTGCGATAACGTGACCACAACCTTGATATCACGTTTTGGCTAGTGTGTAGGGCCTCAGCAACGACGCGTTGAATAGCACCATTTTGTAACATGCCCACGGCTCTCATCTCAACTCTCTCTCTCTCTCTCGACATTAATTTCATCTCAACTCAAATGACGAGGTGACATGACCACGTTAAATTAAAAGAGAAAAACAACCTAATCCCTTGTCATTAATATCAGTGGAACAATTTTAATTTTCCTTGACCTAAAGAATTACTAATGATTATGCCGCTGTATTCTGTCTTTTCTTTTGTTTTTTTTCATTTACATATTTAAATTTTTAAAATAGAATAAAAGAATTTTCAATCTGTATATAAACTTTACATGTAATCTAAAAACCTTTTAAACTATAAAGTCGTAAATAATTTAGTATTAAGGTATCCCTAGATTCTGTTGATTGTTTTTATTAAAATAATTTCAGTTAAAAATTCGGATACACCTTAATTTTACCAAAATGATTATTATCATTCATATTTACCGAATCACGCAACAGATCCATAAATGGCAAACGTTTCGCAAAAGTTCGCTTTCGTTTAATATTTTGTGATAATTTATATTTTGATAAGATAAAAGTAACATTCATGTACCTATTACTCCAACATGAATGCATTTTATACAAAAGCATTAAAATCTAAAGTAGCAGCTTTATTTTTAAGACATATCTAAAATTTAGAAAATTATCAGATTTGTATTCCATCCATTTTCCGGTACTACGTCCTGGTGTCCCCGAGGACCTCTGAGGACAGAAAAAGTAGTACACAATGTTTGCTGTTGCGTGATTCAGGTTTTGCAAATTAAAATTTTAGATTTCCGAAATCAATCAGGCGATATCCTTGTAAATTATTTAGCCCGTGTTGACAGAAAATAATGAGACTAATATTGTCAGATTTGTAAAGTGATGTTAAAGTAATGTATATGTAAAATTAGTAATTCCTGAAATCTGAATCTGAATTCCTGAAAATCCACTAACAGTGGGACCTGGATTAGTGAATTTTCAAGGAATGTTAGACACAAAAAAATTGACTAGAAACGGGTCAAGTAACATAAAATGGTCACTAAGAATTCATTACAATTTGTACTATTCTTATACCGGAAAGGTACTGTTAGGTCTGTATTTATGATTCAACACACAGTCGGGTTCCACTTCGGACTCTCTCCTATTTAATAAGCGTCAAGCGTTGCGCAAGTTGTCGCTAAGAGTGTATCGCTCTCTCAGACTTTAATGTTGGTACCACTCAATGGTTGTCCCTAAGTTAACATAACGATTCTAATATGGTAGAGCCATGCTACAGCTATATTAGTAGTATAGTTGCAGCACGAATGGGTCGACTCGACTGGTGAAGGACCACAATCTCACAGAATACCAGCGTCAAAACGCAGCTGAACTTTGCTGTGTTTCGTATGGCGAGTGCAGAGAACCGGAGACCTTTTCCACTGCAAGCAAGCTCTCGGGTGACAACGCATCTGCATTTTGATTCGTAATCGCGGAAAGATGTAGATATCTATTGGCCACAGCAACCACTTAACATCAGGTTGACTGTGTGCTCGTTTGTCACCTTCATCCTATTTAAAAAAAAAAAACCTAAATTGATCTAAATGGTGTAATGTAAATGTCTCATGACATACTGAACTGACTCTACGCAATAAATTGACTACCATATGCTTTCTAGATAATTTTTTTTATATGATAAGGAGACAAACGAGCACACAGTCCACCTGATGGTAAGTGGTTGCTGTGGTCCATAGACATCTACATCTATCCTCTATTACAAATAAAATGCAGATGCGTTGTCATCCGTAAGGACTTAGATGGAATGCCTCGTTTCCAGTGAAAAGGTTCTCCGGTTCTCTAGCTACTATTTGACGCTGGTATTCCGTGAGAGCGTGGTCCTTCCCCGGTCGAGCCGAACCATTCGTGCTACAACTATACTACTAATATAACTACAGCATGTCTCTACCACGTAAAAAATATATCTAATAACGTAAATCTACATGTTTCGGTATAATATAAATTTCTATGTCACTGACGTTGGATGAGGGTCAGAGACTACATGTATTTGCACTCCTACGTAATATAACCAGATAAGTTGACATAACACGGTCGGATATTTATCATTGATTTTAGCGCAACTATTCTTTCCACTTATTTCGTAAAACTGGCCTAAGGAGTCATTATCAACACTAACAAGCCCACTGGCGGAAATAGATAAGCCTTTACAATAATATGCAAACTATCATGCATTTTTTAGAAATATCATCATCATCATCATCATTACAGCTCTTCACAAATCCACTGCTGAACATAGGCCTCCCCCAAGTAACGCCACAAAGCACGATCCTGAGCCACCTGCATCCATCGACTTCCTGCATGTCTTACCAGGTCGTCAC